ATCTCAGCTGCCCTGAGAAACTACAGGCATTCCACCTGAAGTACCCACATCTGCCAATAAAGCCTCGAGCTCGGCATCAGACAACGGAGGCAACGAAGAATCGAAGAAGTCGAAGGAAGGGGAACCATTAGGAACGAGCGCAGCGGCATCGGCGGTTTCCTTTTCCACACGCTCCTTTTCCAATTTTTCCTTCTCTTCTTCCTCCACTAACTCATCGAGAGTCCGCAAACCACGACGAAGCATTTCGGATTCACGCTTCAACAGGAAACGCTTCTGTTTCCGCAACCGTAAAATTTTAGCCATAGCCTCTTCCTCTTCTTGATCCAATCTCTCCTTCTGTCGGGATAAACTCTCCCAGTCACTCTCAGACGGACCTTGGACGTCGCATTTCTTGCTACTACGAATGCATTCACTGCACCGCGATGAATCAGAGGACGAAACAATACATTTGCGACCAGTACGTTCGCACAACGAACATGAGGGCATTTCGAAACCTTTCTGTTCAACAAGACGAGCAAGACGGATTTGTTCTTTTCTTTTGTCAGTATTCAGGGGAGGCATAATGAAGAAGAAAAGAAGCACCACAATCATTAAGTAGGCGAAAGGGAAGACGTACTAATATAAACGCTTGGGACAAGCGCTAGGCTAAGAAGGGGATAGTGTTACAACGGATTAGTAACAGGCTGTAGAATCACCAACGTATAGGCTATAATGGTACTATAAGCCTCGGTGATTCAGCTGCAGTATACCGGGGGACGCTAGGCACCCAGGAGAGCCTCAGGCACGTATATAGTATTAGTCATAGGATACCCTAGAAACATAGGACATAGTTCCCAGGACAATAGGTCCTAGGAAAGACAGAACACAGTAAGCAAGAAGGCTTCACTAGGATTAGTAATGTCCCAGGGGATTAGCCCCAGGACAAAAGAATAAGCTAGGACACCAAGAGTCACGGGATTAGTGTCCCGTGATGGACAGCTCAGGAACGACAGCGCTCCAGGAGCGCCCGGCTGTCCCAGCTGTCCAAGTAGGACGAAGATCTATATAAGGGAATGGGTTTCATTACAATATAGAGCTTCGTGCTCAAGAACAATCATTAGTTTCATTACTATAGTTACGAGAATTGCAACCAGTTACAACCTTATTGAATTCCTACTTGAAGTCTAGTCTAAACCACCTCGAGAGATCTCTAGACACTTCCACGTGACCCTAGAGGCAGCTCCCGTAACATATATATAAAAGCTTTATTTATAAGTATATGTAAATGTTATTTCATTTTTTATTTAAAAAAGTTTTTAATAATGTGATAAATCTAACAAGTGTTTAGAAATTAATCTTAGAATTAAAAGCTACAGAGTTAAAGAGAGTGTGCTACGAAGTTATATATGCGATCGGCTCGAAGCTTAGTGCTGTGCTAGCCTGATCGGACGCGATCACGTGTATATCGTGACAGCCTAGTTGTGATTGTGGATCATGAAGATGGTATCAATAGGAGGGAACTGAGGGGGTGAATGAGGGGATGTGATCGGTTGAAATTTGAAATCTGAGATGTATTCTACCTAGTAGTGTATTTTGAGGGGATGTGGAATAAGAGGGATAAGAGGGATAAAGGGGTAGATAATAGGTATATACCTAGGGTAGCATGGTGAACTCGAATTTCCCTTTCTGAGCACTAGGGTTAGCATAAGTATTAATGTCAGTATTAGTATCAATACCGATACAAATAGCGAGATACTAGGTAGATAGTCCTTGTGTTATTGATCTGGATATATAGCATAGGTAGTTGATGAATCTGGAGAGGTTGATCTCGTTTGATTTACTTACTATATCTACTAGGTATATCTATATTAGTTAGTACTAACATCACAATTACAATTACAATCATTCATTGCTATTTCCTTGTTGCAGATGAATTTATTTAGATAGATGTATAAGGATCTTTAACTGAGCACTCTAACATGTGTCAAAGACAATTATTACTAGAAGTAGGTATATATATATATGTATATCCAACAAGAGCGAATCTGTATTAATGCCTCTCTTTTAATTGTAAATACTTATTGACTACACTACGAGTACATCACAGCCCAAGGATAGAGTCACTTAGAGACCTCCCTTCTTACTTCTCGCATCTCATATCTTATACTGACTGTGCTCACTTAGGTAGGTAGGAGAAACAAATAAACAACACCCACAACATTTACCCGTCTACCCATCTAGCTATCTACCTCTTACCTCCTACCTAACTATCTACTACCTTTCTACCTACTCACCCCCTACAATCCACAAAAATAAACAATCAGATAGTACCACTACACTACAACACATTACACTAGAGTACAGTACCACCTACCACCCACTACAAGACAACAGCATACACGTCAATACCAATATCAATATCAATGTCAATATCCCTATTATATTTATCCACGCTTCTTACTTCTATAATTTCACATCTACACTTACACATATAATGGCAATGACAACAACAAGAAAGGTAGAAGAAGAAGAAGAAGAGTAGGAATAGGAATACTAACAAACACAAACAGACATAGATATTCATCCACCTACCTACCCACCCCATCACCTCTCCAACCCAACACTCCAAACCCCCATCCAAAGTTCCAAGTTCCGAATTCCAAGTTCTATCCAAACACCACCTCCTAACTTACAAGTATTTCCCTTCGCTTCCCGATCCAAAAACCAAACATCGCAAGTACCAAGAACTCAAGCACCGTCCACTCCAAAATCTTCCAGAGCCGCATCATAACATGTGAAACTAATCTCACGACACCAAATTCTCAATTACCCGAGTCGTGTCTTCCACTCCCACATTCCCCAACGAATCGTGGCGTTCAACAACGTGCTACTACCAAGGAACTTGCTTGGGCCCTTTTACTATTCGAACGCCTTCTGAATACCATTCGACCCTCAGATATCAACCATACAAATCCAGATTTCCAAGGAAAAATCTCATACAAAATCTTCAACTTGACTGACTCGGAATCACACTCACTTCATATTGAAATCATTCCACAGATCAAAATCATACACGTCAAGGTTTACTAAACTATATGCAAATGGCATTTGTAACATCAGATATTATCAAAAATTATTTTCTAATGTGAGATCAATTCCGGACTAGACTACCTTGATCTTCCATCTAACTTCTGCTTTTTGTATACCATGCTGCACACAGGAGATGGCAAGAAACAGAACGTAGAAGATGGATGACACCGAAAAACGCACGCAAAAAAAGACAAAGAGGAAGCCCCGTGGAATCATAGCTGAAACGAGATTCCTAGCCATAAGAGGACGTAAGAGCTTAAATCATCATACATTTACCACCCTTGCGCCTCTCATTGATGTGGACCGCTGAAGACACAAGAATAAGTTTGAGAGATGCACCAATGACCAATTTAGAGGAGCGGTGGAGATATGAACGTTTTGATTGGTTTTGTAGTATCTTGCAAACACAATCGTGGTATAAAGGTTGAGGATCGATGTTGTACTTAGTTGTGACCAGTCTTGCGGAGAGTCGTTGCGAGCCATTCCAATCCTTCGTAAAGACCGTCTCCAGATGTAGCGCAAGTAGATTGAATGTACTAGAAAGTTGTTAGCGGTAAATCGATTGTAGCTACTTGATATACATACCCAGGCGCGTTGTCTCAAGCTGTGGAGACCCAATTTATCTGTGATTTCTGCAGCGTTCATGGCGTTCTAAAGACATAGATTAGTCATCGTTTCCATATGTCGAATCTCAATATACTGACTGGCAAATCTTGTTTGTTGGCAAAGACCAAAAGGATGGCATCTCTAAGCTCGTCCTCGTTCAACATTCTCTGCAATTCCTCACGAGCCTCGACCACACGATCACGATCGTTGCTGTCTACAACGAAAATGATACCCTGGGTGTTTTGAAAGTAATGTCTCCACAGAGGTCTGATCTTATCTTGTCCACCAACATCCCACACGGTAAATTGAATATTCTTGTACTCGACAGTCTCGACGTTGAAACCTGCAAGATAAAAGTTAATGATGAGCTCTCGGTTTGCTGATGATAAGAGAATCGATGAAGAGATACATACCGATGGTTGGGATAGTTGTGACAATTTCACCAAGCTTGAGCTTATACAGAATTGTAGTTTTACCAGCAGCATCCAAACCGACCATCAAGATTCTCATCTCCTTCTTTCCCCAGAGACGATCAAATAACTTCGAGAATGTCAAACCCATGATTGCGGCTTAACAATCGTGTATGAGGGTGGATGTGGGTTTGGTGTTTTCTTGGAAAATGATTCTAATCGGGAAGCACAGATATTAGCGACTGACTGCGCGATAGATGCAACTTGTTTATATGACCATGAATTAAAAGGACAGTTTCTTGGTGGAGCCACTTGTCGGTGTGAGATCCTTGATCGAATATAGAATAGGCTGCCGTTCTGGACAAAGGACACCTGCGTACTTGGGCATCTTTTCTAGAAGCAAGTTCTTTCCGGGATTGGAGTGTATCGGTGAATGGGCACGCGCTGCGCCGCCGTTGCAGAAGACTTGCCACACTTTCAAGGGGCTACCAAGAAGGGTCTCTGGACAGATGAAGATATAAATGGAATAGCATAACAGCGTACTTACCAATTTCCCTTTGATTAATGAGATCAATAGATGACCGAGTGGAGATGGAATTGAAGTTATTAGCGAGATGGTTTTTGGATTGAACAAAAAGATGGGGTGGATGTGCTTGGGAAGGTGTGAGTGAGACTGTGAGAACTTTAGAAGGACAGCGGGCGGGCGGTGATTCTCTGTTCTTTCGGAAATTTGACGCTAAAGTGATTACTCTAGCCTATCAGAGTCCCAAATAGATAGGTTTGTGGTTCCAGATTTTTAAGGCTGCGGTGCTTTTATCGATTGAACGATCTGGCAATAATTTGGATTTGAGAAAAGGGAGCTGGCGATATTGACATTGATATCAATTGATGGTCGACTTGTGAACGAGGGAGAATAACACGGAGCAATCAATCAAGCAATCAATCCATCAATCAATCCATCAATCAATCCATCAATCTCACGACTTTTTGATTGTGAATCAGTTACATTTCATTACTTCATCAGTACAACCAGATCTGGTGAATTATTCGCACCCTACTCTCCTTCTCTCTCGTCAAGCAGTTACCTTACTCGAGACTCATCTCCCTGTTTACACGACGAATCTTCTTCCAACTTCACCAAACCACCTTATTTAATCACACAATCAACATGCGATTCTCAACCCCCGCAGCCCTTTTGACAATTGGCAGTCTCTTTGGAGCTGCTGTTGCTCACAATATTCAACTCGCAGCTCATGGCAGAGAGTGCTTTCACGAACAACTTCATAAAGATGATAAAATGACGGTTACATTCCAAGTTGGCGATAGGGAATTTGGCAGTGCTGGCAACTTGGACATCGACTTTTGGGTGAGTGAGGCTGGAGTCATGTTGGAACATGTTGGCGTATTTCTGGAAAGGCTCTGGGACTAACTGGATTTGAAATGTAGATCCAAAACCCCGCCAACGGTTATGAGGCACACGAAAGAGCTGTGTCTAATGGAGATCACTCATTTACTGCCAACCATGACGGCAAATACTTATACTGCTTCAGCAACGAGCATTGGTCGGCATCTAGCAAGGATGTATCTTTCAATGTTCACGGCATCGTCTATGTACCAGAGGCAGAAGCTCCATCCGATCCCTTAGATTCAGAAGGTAGCTGAACATACTTTACTCTCCAAACATTGGAAGCTTACAATAGATATAGTTCGACAATTGTCTGACCTCCTTGCGCGAGTGAAGGACGAACAATCATACATTGTTTTGCGCGAGAGAACCCATCGTAACACAGCAGAAAGCACAAACGGCAGGGTCAAGTGGTGGAGTATCTTCCAGATGGCAGTCTTGGTTGGCGAAGGTATCTTCCAGGTTTGGTGGTTGAAACGATTCTTCGAGGTAAAGAGCCACAGTACCGAACGCTACGGCGTTTTGAGCCGGTAGCTGATTGACTTGCGTAGGTCAAACGCGTTCTTTAAAAGTGCGCATCAAGCATGTTTCGTTCAACCAGTTCGGCATAACTTCTGCAATCGATGGAGCGTAATTTTGGGAAATTGGAACAGCTATGTATTAACGGTATTCGATTCGAATTTCCGACTGACGCTTTCTACATCTCTCGCGCGTTGTTATGAGGTACTGGGTAGCATACCCCTTTACTGACATTCAAACTCTTCTTCATATCGAGACAATCTCATAGAGCAGGAAATGGAAACTCTTTTACCCAGGATATCACATCGAAATCACCCATAGTACCAGATGAACCATTGCTGAATCTCGTGGAATATCAACTAATGATCGTCCCAACTCAAAACCCTACCGGCTAAATTGTAAAGCTATTTGTCCCTGGTATCATTCGTGCAGATTTGACCCAGAAAGGATTCGGATTCGTACTCGTGTGTTCTACTTACCCACGCCGCAACCCTTCCCCATGATTTGCATCTTACAACGCGACGCCAAGCAATTTGGTAAAGCTTCGGCAGCATCTTTGTGTTGTGGTTTCAGTCTCTTTTGAGTCCTTGTGGATGGAGACTTCCCCTTAAGCTGAAGTAACAGAGCCAACATCCATGGTTCGATCGCAATGGCTAGACTGTGCGTGTGCACTGCTGCACTGTAAGGGATGGTCGAGAATAGCTTGAGATTCACTCAAAATATGTACATCAATTGGCTGTTTGTAACCGACCCTGTCAGCTCTTATCCTAAAAGGCATCTTTTCTCCGGAAAGCTAATGAGCCGATGAGCAGGAATTGGATCAATTGACATGGTGAGTGTAGGTTATCCAACTAATAAGTGGAAGATATGTATTTTGCTCATACTTTGGGGAATTTTCTCTTGATATTTTTATATCTCGTTCGTCATATTCAATACTTGATAAACCGCCACCGAACCCTCCTCTTCTTTACGATCATTTTTGTATCACTTTCGTACTATTTCTGGAAGCTTTTGGATCTAATATCAAATGTCAAATCAAGCATCTTGACAAGATCCATAATAAAATCAAAGTCGCAATCGGTTTCTGGGGTAAACACGAGATCCAGGGTCCACATCCCCAATCATGCCGGACAAACAGACGGAACAACCCGCTCAACCTACTGCGCCAACACTGGGAACTACCAACCATACCAACCATTCAAATGATCATGGTGAACATAAATCAGCATCTCCATTACCTGATGTAGCACCTACTATTGGTGGTGTTGGCGTCGTATGTGAGGATAGTGAGAAGGCCGATGCAGCTGCTACATCTCTTAAACATCATCCATGTGAATTTCGAGACCCGGAGAAAGACTTTCATGGAAATGCGTCCTCGGGAATCGGTGCACCCATAGAGCACGATGGGGAGAAAGGGGAAGTTGTAGAGGGAACAGAAGAATCAAATAGAGAGGAAGAAGATGAGAACCATTACATCTCTGGTGTCCCACTGGCACTCTTGACTTTTGGTCTTTGCATGGCTACGTTTACTGTAGCGCTGGATAATACTAGTAAGTTTCAAATTCGATACGGCCTTCCTGGTGTGGGACATCGACACTCTGGTATCAATACTGTTCGATACTCAGTGGTTTCCTTTACCGGTGAACCTGCTCTATTTCCCCTCGGCTTTATCAGCATGAACTTTCTATTCATTTGCTTCATTCAAAGGATGGCTCAAGTACCATACTGACCATCTCTAGTCATCGCCACTGCTATTCCCAAAATAACCTCAGTCTTCAACTCTCTGGACGATGTCGGATGGTATGGATCCTCTTACTTGCTAACAACAACCGCCCTTCAACCATCATTTGGACGTATATACACCTACTTTGACATTAAATGGACTTATCTCTTTGCCCTTGTCCTCTTCGAAGTCGGATCTATCATCTGTGCTGCTGCAAGAAATTCAGTCATGCTTATTGTAGGGAGAGCGGTTGCCGGCGCAGGGGCTTCAGCACTATTTTCTGGTGGCATGACAATAGTAAGCTATCTTTAATTTCATTGGAGTCTATTATTGATCTTTTTCGTGGAAGGTACACCTCAACTAACTCTATCTAGATTGGGTTCACTGTGCCTTTGATTAAAAGACCATTGTATATTGCTATGTTATCGTCGATGTTTGGCATTTCTAGTGTCGTTGGTCCCCTTCTTGGTGGTGCTTTGACCGACAAAGCTTCATGGCGATGGTAAGCACATTCAATTCCTTGTTTTCGCACTCTTTGATTCCAAACATCAGTCTCCAATTTCGGCTTTTGCCTCTTCTATGTTGTCTCCAACATCTTTTGCCACTCATACAAAAAGGTTTTAAGAAGACTATAAGTAATTACTGACTCGTCAATTTGTGCAGGTGTTTTTGGATAAATCTTCCATGTAAGTGTGTTCGGTTATTTGAATTCGGACCTTCACTGTTGTACTTCTGGTCCCCTATTCCACAACGCCACGACGCCTATCCTCCAGGTCTCTAATAGTCTCGGCTAGCATTCTGAATCTGTTCTCAATTTCTGGGAGTAGTATAGTATTGACAGCGAATTCAGTATTTCAATCTGTTTTCTTCAGTTACTTGAATGAAAAATTGAAGGCTTTTGCCGACGGACTGCAGTCGGACTACTGGGGGCCTGATTCTCTTGACTTTCCGATAAGATGGAACTCCTCGATTACAACCAAAAACTGACTTTGGTTGAAAAATTACTAACCCCGATATTTTAGTTGGCGGAATTGCTATTGGTGCCGTAGCATTGTTCTTCAAACCTCCTCCAAGAAAAATATCCGGCATGACCGTTAAGCAGAGGATTCTGGAAATTGATCTCCTTGGAGCTACTTTCCTCATGGGGGCGATCATCAGTCTATTGTTAGCCTTACAATGGGGCGGGTCAAAATACCCTTGGAGTAATTCGAAAGTTTGGGGTTGTTTACTCGGATTTGGTCTTTTGATCATTGTATTCATTGCCCAACAATTTCTTCGCGGCGAACGAGCTACTATTCCTCCTAGGATTTTCAGCCAGCGAACTGTTCTTAGTGCCTGCCTATTCTCTTGTTTTATGTCAATGGGTCTTTACACACATATCTATTACCTTCCTTTCTACTTCCAAGCTGTGAAGGGCACCAGCGCAGAAGCCTCCGGTATTTGTACGATTCCATATCTCGGCTCCGTTATTGTCTCATCTATTTTTGCCGGCGCTGGTATCACTATCCTTGGCTTCTACAAACCTTTCATGATTTTTGCCGGCGCAGTCTTCACAATTGGCGCCGGACTCATGTACACGCTTCAAGTAGGCTCCAGTGTTGGAAAATGGGTAGGCTACCAATTAATCTGCGGTATTGGTGCAGGCATGGGAGTACAAATTCCATTCATTGCCGTTCAAGTCGTTCTTAACGCAAAAGATATGCCTAGTGGAAACGCCATTGCTATTTTCTTCAATTCCCTCGGCGGAGCCATCTCTATTTCCATTGCGCAAAATGTGTTTAGTAACGGACTTGTCAAATATGTCCCTCAATATGCCCCTGAAGTTGATCCAGCCATCATCTACGCTGCTGGCGCAACACATCTTCGCGAGCTCATTAGTCCTGCTGATTTGGTGGGTGTATTAGTCGCGTATTGTAAAGCGTTGGATGAATCATTTGTTTTGGCAATTGCGGTTGGTGCTATTGCGACGTTTTGTGCATGTTTTGTGGAATGGAAGAGTGTAAAAGGGAAGAAGATTGAACACGGAGCTGGTGCAGCTTAGTGGTTTGGAAATGAGGTAGTTAACACATACTACTTTTTAATTAATACATAGCGCTGGGGCGTTTCTTCTAGGGAGGGGAGTTCTTTCAGATATACGGTTGGGTTGAAATGTAGATGCATGATGGTTTGGAAAAGAGGTCGTTACATATGAGATATGAGATATGGATGAAATGAGAATCAAAGGGAGAATAAGGATATGAACATAACGGATACTCCATATAAATTTACATACAAACATACGAAACCTTTCACGAGTACTGACGATAACCATCTTTACGAGTAAGGGAATAATATATGTTTTGTAACTTCGAAAGGATGATCCAACATAAAAGTGAACTTTGCAGAGTGATATGTGATTTATGTGTTGTCTATATGTAGCGTAGCGAGCACCTCTAATTAAACTTAACAGCCCCCTGAGTTCAGTGACAATTTTTGGACCGCAGATTATACTCAGTGTCTCCAATAGTTTTACCATTCCCAACCTAAAAGATCTAATATTCCCAAAGACTATACATTATATACCGAGTAGCTCTTCCATACCATACCACAAACTACACATCACACTACACATCACAAATCGACAATTTCAAGATACAGTAGCTAGTATCCACTCGTCTTTAATCCAAACGCATACCATACCGCCCAACCACTCTTTAATGACCTTGTATATACTTTATATATCATTTGAATATTCTATATGTATGTATGTACAGTCAGGAATCAATTTATGACTATCGATATCTGACTTGGAGAGATTGAAAATGTACTGCTTTGATAGCTATTCTAGAATCTATATACTGGGTCACACATGCATCTCATCGATATCCACCACCTTCGGCCCGCCCGATCGCCTACCTATCAATGTAAGAAAGCAAAAGCAAAAGCAAAAGCAAAAGCAAAAGGAAATGCATACACAATATCTATAATATATATATCTACCTCCCTACACAACCATCAAAGCCAACCCCGCACCCTAAGATTCCTCCCCCTCCCCACTCCTCCAAAATAAAACTAGTACCAAAATCTTCTCCCCCTCCCTCCCCCCCAAAAAAAACCCCAGCAGCAAATTCCCCTTCCCCTTCACCCTCACCCCAATCCCTAAAACTCCCCCAAGATTACCCAGGTTCCCCCTCTCCCTCCCGCTCCAAAAAAATGCTCCAAAAATCCCCCCCAAAATCCAAAAAAATCCAACACGAAGGGAATTGAGCCCAACGGGGGGGTCGAACCCCCAACCTTGTGATTGACCATTTCATCTCTCAATGAATAAGAGTCACACGCTCTACCGATTGAGCTAGCCGGGCGGCTATTTCTAATTGTTGTGAATTGCGCCAAAATCTGTGAATATATAGTTGGGTGTGGGTGACGAAAATTCTTTACAGAGTTTTTGAAATTTGGGGTTAAGCGAGGGGGTGGGTAGGTGGGTTTGTTTGTATAACATGGATGTGCAAGGTACCTACCTAGTTTTTGAGACTATGCTTCTAGTTTAGTAGGAATAAATCCTAGCGGGCTTTGCGAATATTAAATAATTGTTAATTGTTTTAATTACGAGTATTAGATTGGATGTAAAG